GGTATTGAAAACGCCGGTACTACGTCCTCTTAATTCACGCACGGAAAGACAAAAAGCACAAATTGAAAAATAATTTGCCGGATAGAGCTCGCTGTCGGGCCAACGACGGCCGAACAGCGTTCCGTCGGGACGGTCGTATCGTCGGCGGCCGTCGTCACTCGTCGCCGTTAGCCGATATTTCGCTAATCCCATATAGTCGGCGGCATTCAGGCATTCGGCAATTCGGGCAATTCGGCATTTAGTCATTTAGACCGTCGACGATTTCGACGGAGGCACCGAGGCGGTACATTTTGAATGTTGATGTACCGAGCGACCGGCTCCGATCACTTGACAATCGAAATGACACTTGATCATAAAATCTTTCATAATATCACATCCAATATGTTGTTTCGACGAGCTAATGCGCCTACATACTACAGTTGTAGTAATGTGGTTGTACTGCAATATTAATTTCAAGAAAAAATATTTAATAGTGAAAAGGCCGAAGCCCTTCCAAAGACAATATTCAATATTGCAACATGTACCATTATTTTTTATTTTTTTATATCTATCTAATGTCCTAATCATAAAGATACGCTGGAGAGTATCAAAATATTATAATATGCGTTCGTGGTTCATCCCCCTCCCAACGGTGCCGTCTAGTCAGTACTCAGTAGTCGATCACCACGATCAGGATCTGATGACAAGGAAAGTGGGAAACGCCCAGGTCGGCTGATAGACCAGCGGCGGGAGTGACTGATTTCCGAAGAATTAAGACTGCTGACTGAGCAGTGAGCACTGAATAGTGAATACTGATGTACGGGGACCTCGGACGGCGGGACAATCGATTTTCCGTCGTTATCGAGATAATCACCGTTACGTGCGCTTCCGCAGTGTGACCAACAGACGTGTCCGGTATCGGCGCGTACTCGCGGGATAAACAATCAGCAACGGGTGGAAATATTCTACTTAAAGTGACTGTAAGTCATCTCCGGACTCGTATGTCTATCGTCGGCGGGTGTTACGTTTGTAGGTGCTCAGCTTCGGGTGTCCGGTAGCTCCCCTCGACAGTATTATTATTAAACGTATTATTATTTCGTTTCTCGACCACAAGTCGAGGCTTCAGCGACAGGCGCTGCTAGACATGGCGAGAGAGTCGCGACGTCCACCCAGCAGATAGCGCGCGTGCGGTAGGTTTGATAGCGGGACGAGTGTTGGAAGCGTACGCGGTCGTGGAGTGGGTGGGAAGGGAGTAGTAGGACGTTGACGACGTCTACGAGTTGCGAGTGCGATTGCGACTACGCCGATTGCCGCCGTACTGTCGTAGTACACTACTACACTATTACCAGGTCTACTAGACGAGTACGGAGATCGAACGAAATATTATAAAAATCGGGAGGTGCGACGACGACGACGACGAACGCTTTCGTGTGCGCTGAAATCCGCCGTCATGTCTACCGCGGCCGCCGTTGCGCACTGACGCAGAGTGACACCCCATCGGCACCGACCCGGCGGAACGTCCGGTCCGGACAGAGCGGAGAGAGCCGGTGACTGACCCGTTGTCGGTGTGACTCGCCACTTGTTTCTCTCGAATGACTCCGTCACGCCGCTACCGCCAGCAGGTACCAGCAGTACGCTAAAGTCCTTGCGGGTCCACGTCCTCGTTCTTGGTACGCTCCTTACCGCTTCGGCGAGATTCCGCCGTACTGCTTGCACCTCATATTATACCTCTGTAGTAGTGGACACACGCAACTCGACTCGCTCCGATTCGATCGGCATTTGGCGGTCCTGGAAGCGTCCAGGGGGGTGTGGTGGTGGTGACCTGGTGACGGTCGGACGACGTGGGCCAGTTCATTGATAACCGCCGCTTTCCCCCCCGTCCGTCCCGCCCAGCCGCCTGGCTGTTTTCAGCGCTTCGCTCGTCCCCCGGGGGGAGTGCGGGGGGGTTGCTCCGACACGCTGACCGCACAGGAAACTGTCCATTAAGCGCAATAATTTTTTTTCTACTCCACCACCATTGTCGAACTGCGGCGGTCTTAGGCGCCTCTGCTGGTAAATTTTCTCTTAATCTCCCGAAGTGGCACCCAATCGGTCCAAAGACCGGCCAACCCGCTAGGACTTGGGCCTGCTGCAGTTTGTGTGCTCCACACATTTTTATTCATTTTATTCCTTGTATTGTGTGTTATAGGTTTTGACAAACTAGATGTGAAGTACACGACTGTCAAACACTTATTTCCACGACCGTAATCATGCCGGCCGTCAGAGGAGATGGTATGCGGGGATTGGCCGTATTCATTTCAGACATCAGAAATTGTAAATGTTTTTTTTTATAATATGTTTTACTTAGATGAATTCACAACGCATCAGTACCTATTAAAAACAATCAGATGTCTGTTGTTTTGCACTTAAATATGTCATGTGAAAACTAAAAAAGGTTAAGAATATAATATTTTATGAAATGTTAGTTTTAATTCAGTAGGTACCATCTGTTTAATTTTGTGAATTCGGTTTTTAAATGTTCATTTTACCAATGGAAATCTGGTAGCGTTTCAAAATAGTTTAATTTTAGTATTTTGTAGGCAGTTCGCAAAGAAATACATATCATCTAGGTATTATGAATACTAAACTATAGAGATTTTTAATATCCACAATAGTTTGAATATTACAGTATAATGTTATAATTATATATTTATTATAATACAAATAGTATAACATGACATGTATAATGTTATAACCGAGGTTATAACTGTCATTTGTAAGCTAAAAAACATTTATTAGGTAAATTGGAATGTTATTTTTTCAACACAAACAGACCATTACGACTAGAGATAATTATTTTATCTTCTGATAAGGAATTCTATGTACAACAGTTGTATAGTTTTATTGAAACAAATGCATATTATTACATTTTAATATAAATATGTATTAATATATAGTATATTGATAAAAATTTGAACCAAAGCACATTGTCATTATATTTACAATTTCGTCTTTTTGCAAATGTGTATTACCTAATATATGTATAAATTTTTTTAGGTAAAAGTAAAGAGGCTGAAATAAAGAGAATCAATAAAGAATTAGCCAATATTAGGAGCAAGTTTAAAGGTGACAAGACATTAGACGGATATCAAAAAAAGAAATATGTTTGCAAGCTCTTATTCATATTTCTACTAGGCCATGATATCGATTTTGGCCATATGGAGGCTGTCAACTTATTATCTTCCAATAAATATTCTGAAAAACAAATTGTGAGTTATTTTCACCAAATGTCTTTTAATTAAATTTAATATATAATATGCTCTATTTAAAATGTATGATTTATTACATATTTTATTGGTTGGCAGAATTATTAAAAGCACATTAGTTAAATGTCAAATAATTTTATTGTCCGTCTAAATTGTAGTTTTATTACTTTCAATAATAACTCAAATATGTTATTATCTAATATGACATTGATTTGTGATATTAATATAACACAATTTTGTGATGAAATAGCATAATTACCACCAGCATAAAATTAATTTATTTTAATGTAAAATTCTACTTAAAATTTAATTTTCTTCTATTCTGTTATCTCAATAAATAGTAGAGCATTTATACTTTTGGTTTTTTATATGTAAATACATTTATAAATAAGTTTTGTTTTTAATGTTTGCATTTTTTCTTAGGGTTATTTGTTTATTTCAGTATTAGTAAATACTAATAGTGATTTAATAAAACTTATTAATCAAAGTATTAAAAATGATCTGCAATCTCGGTACGTTTACATTTTATTAATAGAATTTAGAATGTTAGTAGATATTTGGTTCAATGTATGTCTAACATTTGTATTTAATTGTTTTCATTAGGAATTCTATCCATGTAAATTTAGCAATGCAGTGTATTGCTAATATCGGTAGTAGAGATATGGCCGAAGCATTTGGTTATGATATACCAAAGCTGTTGGTTTCAGGGTATGTATACTTTTAAATAATTTAAAAAAAATAAATCTTAAAACTTGAAACTTATGTGTATTTGTATTAAATAGAGACACAATGGACGTGGTCAAACAGTCAGCAGCATTATGTTTTCTACGACTTTTACGTACTAACCCTGATGTCATACCCATAGATTCAAATGGTGCCAGTGAGTGGACATCAAGAATTGTTCACCTGTTAAATGATCAACATTTGGGTGTAGTCACAGCTGCAGTTTCTCTTATTGATGCACTTGTAAAACGAAATCCAAAAGAATACAAAGCTTGTGTCAGTTTTGCAGTTTCAAGGCTTTCCAGGGTAAAGTAAAGCACATATATACATCAAGTACAGTGATAATTATTTTTGATATTTTGTATAGATTGTGACTGCTAGTTATACAGATCTTCAAGATTATACTTATTACTTCGTCCCAGCTCCATGGTTGTCTGTTAAATTACTTAGACTTTTACAAAATTATTCAACTCCGGGTAATAATTAAATTTAAATAGTTTTTGCAAAGGCTGAATATGTCATAATAATTGTATTACTTGTAATTAATAGAAGATGCAGGTGTGAGGGTTAGATTGAACGAATGTTTGGAGGCTATTTTAAACAAAGCACAAGATGCTCCAAAATCCAAAAAAGTGCAACATTCCAATGCTAAAAACGCTGTATTATTTGAAGCTATTAGTTTAATTATTCACAACGATAGGTAAGTCAATAGTTAAATATTAAAATAAAAATAAAATATTTGTCATCATTCATCTTAACTGTTTTTTTTTCTTTTTAGCGAACCAAATTTACTTGTGAGAGCTTGTAATCAGCTGGGTCAATTTTTATCTAACCGAGAAACAAATCTGAGATATTTAGCTTTGGAGTCCATGTGCCTTTTAGCTAATTCTGAATTTTCACATGAAGCTGTTAAAAAACATCAAGAAGTTGTTATATTATCGATGAAAGTAAGTTTATCTAGTATCTGCATTACGTCTTTGACAAAACAATACGATAATATTTCCCACAGATATAAAAAATATATTATTTTTATATATATGTGGTATTTCCTAAAATATCAAAAATGTACAGGAAAAAAACACATAATTTAGTGAAAAAACCATGTATAATATACAAAATCCAAAAAAGACAATAAACGATGAAACTTTATCACGTATTATATTCTAGCATCTTTGAAATCAGTATCAGTTTTATCATTTTATGTGTCTCCTGAAATAAACACATTTTGGAGATACATTGTATTGTTTTGTCAACAACGATCATATAAGTTTGATATTATTTTTATGTTTGTATTTATATTTATGATATACCATCAATAAATCAATTTGTTATTCCATAGATGGAAAAAGATGTTTCGGTTAGACAACAAGCTGTCGATTTACTTTATGCTATGTGTGACAAGTCAAATTCTGAGGAAATAGTTCAGGAAATGTTGAATTACTTAGAAACTGCTGACTATTCAATAAGAGAAGAAATGGTATATATTTTATTTAATAATGATTAATACAGTATTATTTTATTTTATGAATACTTGATGTTTAGGTATTGAAGGTAGCTATATTGGCTGAAAAATATGCAACTGATTACACGTGGTATGTGGATGTTATACTAAATTTAATTAGGATAGCAGGAGATTATGTTTCTGAAGAAGTTTGGTATCGTGTTATTCAAATTGTAATCAATAGAGATGATGTACAAGGTTATGCTGCCAAAACTGTATTTGAGGTAATTTTTTGTTTATGGTTATTGTTAGAATAATATGACTTATCATGCTCATTTTTTTTTTTTAGGCATTACAAGCACCTGCTTGTCACGAGAATATGGTAAAAGTCGGTGGTTACATCCTTGGAGAGTTTGGTAATTTGATTGCTGGTGATACTCGATCTGCACCAAATGTCCAGTTTCAATTATTACATTCCAAGGTAATAATGAGTAAAAATATTCATAAATACGTTTATCATATTTAATAATTATTTTTGTGTGAATAGTATCATTTATGCTCACCAATGACTCGAGCATTATTACTGTCAACATATGTAAAATTCATTAACTTGTTCCCTGAAGTAAAAACTACAATCCAGGAAATTCTTAAACAAGATAGTAATTTACGAAGTGCTGATGCTGAATTGCAACAACGAGCATCTGAGTATTTGCAGCTGTCAAAAATTGTATCGACAGATGTTTTGGTATGTTCTTAGAACAAATTGTGTGACACATTCCCCAATTTAATTATTTTGTATTTTAATTTTGAACCATTAGGCTACAGTTTTGGAAGAGATGCCATCTTTCCCAGAACGTGAATCATCAATATTGGCTGTCCTAAAAAAGAAGAAACCAGGTCGAGTGCCAGAAACTGAAACATTAGAAAACCATAGTCCCCAACCTTCCCCAATAAGTCATCAAAATAATCATGTTAATAATCACACCAATGTAATGAAATAATGATATACCTATGAATAATATTATGTAATTTTAATTTGTCAACAAATATTTCAGTCCAACAGCAATTCTGCAGATCTGCTAGGTTTATCAACACCAGTAACATCTACAACTCATACAAGTAACGCCAATGTTTTAGTTGATGTCTTGGGAGATTTATATGGTGGCGGAGGATCAACGGGTTCAAACTCATTGAGTGCCAGTCAAAATAATTATAATCCAAAAAAGTAAATCTTATATACTAATGTCTTGTGTTATTTAACATTATTTAATACATGCATTTTATAGATTCATATGTAAAAACAACGGAGTACTATTTGAAAGTGAATTAATTCAAGTTGGTGTGAAATGTGAGTTTAAAAGAAATTTGGGACGTTTAGGTTTGTTTTATGGCAACAAAACTACAATTCCACTGCAGGTAAGTTTTCATAATTATGAAACATAACAAAATAATAAAGTATAATTTTGGGTTATAGAATTTCGCTACAGTATTATCTAGTCCACATCTTTGGGTCACTAAATTAGCTATACAAATTAAGCCTATTGAGCCAGTTCTGGAAGCTGGGGCTCAAATACAACAATTGGCAATTATTGAATGTGTAGAGGAATACGCAGGTTAATATCTCTATTTTCTCAGTTCTAATAACTCAGTAATAAGTAATAATTTTCGTATTAAATGAAAATGTTTCGTTTTAGACACACCTGTTATAAATGTTTCATTTGTGTACAATGGAGTACCACAAAATGTTTCCGTGAAGCTACCAGTGACTTTAAATAAATTTTTTGAACCAACTGAAATGAACAGTGAGTCTTTCTTTGCTCGGTGGAAGAATCTTGGCAGGTAATTGGGAATACTTTATTTATGCATAGTTATAAATTATATTTGTATACACTAAAAAACTAAACATTTTTTTTACTGTTATATAAATGGTTTTTCTGAATTTATTTTAATTTAATTTAATTTTTTTAGTAATCACGATCCTCAAAAATCTCAAAAAATCTTCAAGGCATCACAGCCAATGGATCAAGTATCAACAAGGACAAAACTATCTGGATTTGGTATGCAATTACTAGATGGCATTGATCCAAATCCTGACAATTTTGTTTGTGCTGGTATTGTTCATACAAAAACACAACAGATTGGATGTTTGCTACGTTTAGAACCCAATAAACAAGCTCAGGTATGTATTTATAGCTACTGTTAAGAAATGTTAAGTACCTACATACTAACATGTGCCAACCAATGAATGAAGTAGTTGATTTTTAACAAGATTTTATTGATATCTTATCTTATTTATAAACTTTTGTTTTCTTAGGGTAGCTTTGAGTTAATGTTAATGACTTGACTAAAAATAATGATTGCCATTTTTTTTAGACTTTTGACATAGCTAGACCATTTAATTTTCTACAATAAATTTTTCTTTGTGATTTGTAGGTGATAAATATTAAAACTTTTTTTGATTTCATTAAATATAAATTTTGACTGTATGCTACTACATTTATTTATTTATTTTTATTTTATATTTTATTAAGATAAACACCATATGGCTCAAGTACAGTAATAATGAATAATACGTGACATAAGTAAATGTACAAACAATATTTATTGTATAGACATAGAAATAATGCTAAATAATTTAACTTTACACAAAATAGTAACTAATAAATATAGCTTAAGAGGATGTCACACCCGCCTGTGTTGTCTCCGTCTTACAAATATACAATATAGCAAAAACTATTTTGCGCGGCACAACTTTTCTCACTATATTTATTATAGTACTTAAAAATTTACACAACACATAAAGAAGAACTTGTGCAGTGCAACAGAAATCTGTGCAACAGCGTGCTTTTTTTTAATAGCACTACCCAACCATTTTTATAAGCAAATGAAAATAGAAAAATGTTTAGAAATGTTACTTTTATTGTATTTATGTTATCTATAATATAGGCACACTGGTGCATAGATAATTTTCTACCTTATATGTTCAGAAATTTTGGAGCCACTACTACAAACACAGAAAGATAAAAGTTGTCCCGCTCAAAAAAGTTTTTGCTATGTTGTTCAATGTACATTTGTAAGATGTAGACAACACATGTGGGTGTGACGCCCTCTTAAATGACAAAATTCACCAATACAGTAATAATAATAGAAAAAGTCCAAATCGGATTCATTTCCCAATTTCATCAATCTCTCAAGGGGACTTTTTTGGCCGTAATTGTTTTGATGGGTTTTAATATGAAAAGTGGGACATTATCTGATGATCATTTTGTGTCACATATTAATAAGCAAATGTATTTAAGTGCTGGCTTTTTCAATGTTCCTGCAATTCTATAGAATTTGAAAATTATCATTTATATTTTAATTGTTGCTTTAATTATAAATACTGTTCCACTAATCCACTGCCCCATGCCTATTTATGGGTGGTTGATACGGTGTAATTTAACAACAAAAATTACTTCACACAGGAAAAATTCTCATGCCCTGTTGATATGTTTGATTTTGATATTTTTTCAGGTCTGATTAAAGCCCGAATCTTAATTTTACTTTAAATAGTGCTAGAAAAATACGTTTGAAAATTAACAAATATTGAGCATTATCCAAATGCATATTTTAGCTTCTATAATTATAATTTTGGAAATCAGGCTTTGATCTGTCCTGCAAAATATTCTCTTCCTTAAAAAAAAAAAATTGACGAAACCCGTCTATTCTGCATGGCGTGAGAGTTCTTCCTGTGAGACTGGTTTTTGTACTAATAATGCTCTGGCTCCAACGCCCTTAAATAATTCTTTTTCTGTTGTTATTGTCATCATTGTCAACTTCACTAATTTTTCATTTATGTTTCATAGATCTTTAGATCTATAAGTCTTGAATAGTGTTAGTTATTCTTAATTGAATAAACAATATTACAGCTGGTGTATAATATTTCTCTATATTACACTATTCAATTATCTTTTTAGAAAACCAAAACATATTGAAATTACATTGTTATATTACAAATATATTTGTTAAAACAACTTTAAATCCCTTTTCAACTTGTGTATACTGGATTTTTTAAGTCCTGGCAGGGTATGATAAGACCTTGTTATGGTTAATACAATTTTTTGAGTGAAAAAAATATGTGAGGTTATTACTTCCGACTATTTAATTTTTGTTAAATTAATAAAATGCAATTATTTGAAAAATTTTAACATTATACTAAAAAAATAATAATAATAATTTAAGGTGGCGAACATTTTGAGTATAGGTGATAAATTATGATAGGTTAGGTAGAGTTCAAAGATGTGTACAAATTAATTGTTATCCTTTTAGTATACTTTATTTGTATTTTGTTTTATTGAACATTTACTAACCTAGATTTTTAAATTAACTATTAACTATTAAATATATTTTAACTATTGAAATTAAAGTAGTGCTTTTAGTTTATATCATTATACTATTAAACTAATATAAATAAAGTGTAATTTATGACCATAGCTTGTGTCAGATCTAATGAGGATTAATTGTCGTGTAACTATTGTGACATATTGGGGGAAAGGGAATTTACTAAGGAGATGTGTAAGGCTATTATTACCGTTATAGTATTACTTTATTAAAATGTATTTATGGCAGCTTATTTTCTCACAGAGTGGAATAACTCTCGTAACTATACTTGCCGCACAATAAGATCATGACCGGGCGGCAGACCGTTATGTATTCGTTAAGTGCAGCCGTTTTTTGATTGGCTCCCCAAACATCTGATCACAGGTATACAGCGCTGTTGCAAATTGAACCACATATACTCTATTGTTTTATAAACACGTGAACCACTGTTGTCACATGAAGCTTTCGGTATATAAAATTGGGAGTGGTCACAACAACGAGTGGTACAATGGAGTAAGTTGTTTTGAATGTGCGACTGGTCATGATCTTATTGTGCAGCGTGTATAGAATAGTGTTCAAATATTGTTATTATAACTTAGTGTTTATCAATTTGTCTCATGGATTAAATTTTTTCAATACAAAACTATTGATGTAAAAAAACTAGATAGAGACATCCAAAACTGTTTTCATAGACAATATTAAAATCATTAAGATGTATTCCCGTTGTTTCATACTATAAGTTATGAATGACAATTTAATATTAATGTATACAAAGGCAATTTTTTGTTTTTGTTTATTGATTGATTTTATTTTCTACAGATGTATCGTTTGACGGTAAGGTCCAGCAAAGAACCTGTATCCATTGAAATTTGTGATCTTTTGGCTGACCAGTTTTGAAATTCTGGTAATAGCTAATAGTCGTGTAAAAACACCATGGAATATTATTTTTTTTGTGATTTTGAATTATTGTTTTTATGCATTATGCACGCACACACTAGCCTCATGTACGCATACAAACCTAAAATCATCTGTGAATACACATAAATTAAAACGTTCTGAGTCTGAGATCGTATAGTTTATTTTATTATAATTTTTATGTAATTTATTTGTTTTTCTTTTAATGAATTTTAAATTGTATGCGTACATGTATGTGGATAACAAGTGTTGCCAAGACCCCAAAGATTTTAAGTGGTAAAATTAAAATAATATTTTTATTTATTTATTATGGAGGATAATTAAAATGTAGGTTTCTTTTATATTAATTTATAAACATCATCGTTATTATTGTTTTCAATTTCCCAAAACTGTAATGAGTACACTACCACTGCTATAGTACTATTATACTAGAGTATGTGTGTGATGATTCTCTTTCTTTTACTGTAATCTTCTCAAAATGTAATAAAAAAAGTTTCTTGACATTAATTTGAATAATAAGGTCCTGTTTTATTTATTATTTTTTATAAAAACTAGGTTATATAATGTTTTAGAAGTTACCACAAAAACATAAAGCAAAATACATTAAATATGCTTGTTTTGTGAAATTAGGAAAAGTTTGATAAAAAAAAAAATGATCTTAAAGAGCATTGTAAATATATATATTAGAATAGTAAATACATTTGCTAATATATATATCCTACACAGTTATTGTGCAAACTATATCTTGTAATGTATAGAAACCTAGGTTTATATAAATATAATTTATACACATCTATATTATATTATGTTACAAATATTGTTTTAGTCACTAGGCTAGTATTTTATTTATTATGCCATTTTAAACTATTTATACGAATCTATAATATATAAATAATAATTATGAGCCGTGTTTTCAACCTAATTAGTTTAAAAAAGTTGCATTAAGTGGTAATACTGGTTAATAATAAAATTTAAAAATCGCATTCGTTAATTGTATGTTAATTACCATCACAATAGAAGTTATAATCAAATTTTATTTTTGAAATTCTTTTAGTTCTAAATAATTGTTTCCATTTCACGATCTAGTGGGTCTGGTTGATAATATTAATCACAAAAAAATAAACTATAAATCATTAATCTCATTTTTCATTGATATGATTTCTTCCTAAATTAAATATGAATATGATATAATAAATTAATTTTTATTAAAATAAAAATAAAACCAATATTTTTGAAACGTTTAACCAATTGATCTTCCCGGCTGTGTTAGTTCTCTTTACTCCTCGGAATGCTCCATATTTTATTATATTTATTTTTTGGGTGTCACTAGAACCTATATATAACACCATCTTGTTATGTACAAAGGAAAATATTTTCATCAAATGTTTTATTGCCCCTAGATTTGTAATAAACCTTGACCTCATAAACTTATGTTCGACCATAGTTCAACTATTGTAAAATTAAACTATACTTACTAAATTATACTTACCTGATAGTTCTTATAAGGACATATTATTAACTTAAAATAACCTACTAGCTTTGCTAATGATATATTATACATATATTATTATTATTATTATTATTATTATTATACCTTTATTTTCTAAGTATGACAATATATTTAATTACTATTATATTATCATATTTTAAAACAATTTAACTTAACATGTGATCCATCCTTTTATCCTAATTATTTATTTTTATTTTGTATTCTATTTTGTTAGACAACACTTGAAAATTGTCTAAAAAATAATTCTCACTGATATAATATATATGAAAAAAAAATTATAAATGTGACTATTAGTAATTATTTATTGTTAATTTACATTATTTTATACCTTGTTTTTTTATTTATCTATCTTTATTTAATTTATTTCCATGTAATAATAATGTAATAATCAAAGGTTGCAATTTATAATTATTGCATTTCTTGAGCTTTAAAACAGTGGTTTGAATATTATATATAACTAGTATTATTCCGTAGCTAAATATATTTCAATGTTATCATAGACAATATATGATATATAAATATATTAGTCGATACCTATTGGCTATTGTATGTTCTAGCACTAGTACTTTTCTTAACTTGTTTTATCACTTATCAATATCTCCAAAAATCAAATTAAACACTGTGTTTACAGAGAATAATCACCCATTTTTAAATCAAAAGTGTACCTTTTTGTCTTTATTTTTTCAAGTTATAAAATGTTATAACTTTCATATCCACTTTTAATTGAACTTGCTCTTTTTTTCAGTACCAATACTATACTATCTACATTTTAGCATGTTTTCTTATTTTTTTTGATTTCTGAAAATGTTTAAAATACTTACCCATTTTCATGTCAACTGCAGTTCAATGTCTTAAGTTGTTGAACAAATTCTATAAAAACGTTCTTGCGTTCCACTAGTTTTCTGAATGGTTGAAAGAAAAATCTACTATTAAAGTTTCAACACCAGAGCTATGGTGTTGTTAACAAATCACAGGGTTTATTTTATGAATTTAGGACCAAATTCTTCTTACTAATAATATAAATAAATTTTTTCTTAACGAAAAATTACAGACATGTCTATTTTGACCTCTGGCTACTCACTTCAGAGAAATCGCAAAGAGTTACTAGTGAGCTTGTTTCTGGTATTTTCTCAACCCAAGTACCAGAAAATTGCTAAAAAATGACAATAAGTTTTACTTTATCACTGTACCACAAGTTGTAAAGTTTGGTTAGGCATTAGAATTTTGAAGTTACAAATTTTTATAACTTTCGAAAAAAAAATGCATGATTACTTAAAACATACGAAATTGTATCATAGTTTGAAATTAAAACAGCACAGTATGTGTTATAATAATTCAAATTATGAGAAATAACTTCTCGTCTCTTCTGTAGTAGAGAATTGTTAATTGTGCATGGTAATTCCTGTCGCATGAGTATAAAAAATTTTATTTAGCATAACGTGTGTCATCACATAATTTCTTATTTTGTATTACATTTTGTTCATTGGATTTTGTATAGTACCTAATAATAACCTATATTAATAATATTCGATTTATTATATTTATTTATTGCAGCAGGGACTGATATGAGGATATGAGTATAATACTATTTTAGTAAAATTGATAAAATTAGTTGAGAAAAGTATATTGCGCTTGAAAATGTAAATATACCTACTATGGATATTATCTACCTACGTGTTATTATTATTTATTTGTGTCATGTTAATCATTATGTTTGGTAGGTATAAAATCGGTACATTTATTTATTTTTTGCTAATTATTGTCATTTTTATTGTTTTATTTTTATGTCATTATATTATAATGTATAATTTGTTAGGTGACGAGCTTAGTTTTCGTACTCTCGTCGTCTTTTGTAAATCCATATTATTATTTGTCCATTATCGTCATCTCCAATAAACGTGTACTCATATAAATCAGGCAATTTGTAATTTTGTGTACATAATTTTATGAATTAATACCTATTTAGAATTTATGTTATCATAGTTACACGTATTCGAGTATTCGACCTCTGCGATGTGCCAACTAATCGATCCTAAAACGTACATTAATTTGTCTTAGCTGTATATAGTATCGGCTTTGTCTATCGACAGCATTGTTAGAAAACATGAGTTTTGCGAAGGCGTATTCAACACTAAGTGTTATGATCTGTTATTTATTATTTATATAATATATAACGCAATAAACAAGATGGAACATTTTTTAATCCACACTGCGTGGTTGGCCTTTTCATCTTATGACATTATTTTAGATGATCAGTCTGAACGCAGCAATGATTCGATTAGGGTCAATTTGCCCTGGTCAAAGTGTTTTTCAAAGTAAAAATGCACATACGTTTTCGTGTAGAAACTCGATGTAGGTAGCTGCTATAGTATATCGGACAAATACTGAAACTTTTTAACTAACTACATTTTTAAACATGGTACCTACTAAATATATATATTATTATTTACTATCATAGCATGTTAGCTGTTAATACATACAATACTTAAAAAATAAATTTTAATATTTAAATGTTTAAAAAACTTATTTTTTTCGCATAGACAAACTATTTTTCAATTATGATAATGGACTAAAATAATTGAGACTGTAATTATTTGGGTCCTCTTTGTAAACTTTGATGGCTTCAACAAATATTACATACATACATAATTCTGCAAACTTAATTTTTGGATCACGATTCTGCATGATTTTAAATGCTATACCGAAAAACATGTTTAAATGACTCATGACTTTACTATTAATAGCTGAATTATCCGTCGCAGCTGGGTTACAATAAAAAAAAAAGGTGGGCAAGTGGGTGTCGCTCTGCTGTACAGTAGGTTACAAGTGGGTCACTGTATAATGGATGGTATTAAATTTGAATTCAATGATATAATATCATTGTATAAGAAAAACGATTCTGAGCGGTGATGGTATGTCAGTCTATGTATAAGGCATATTATATACATATCTATGGTATTAAACAAAAAATTGACCTATAATAAGTACCTATAATAAATTCCAAATTAATCATATCACAATATCCATTAGATACTTATAACGCGTTATACATCAACAAAAACCGTGATACTATCATAGATATATAATAGTACACTTTAGAAGTTTCAAGTACCCACGAATAATATTATTCAATCACAACAAAATAACTAAAATCGTAATTCTTGGTTTAAATATGAAATTTTGTCTAAATTTGAAATTAAAATGTCTGTAAAAAATAAGTGTGTTTATATATTTTTTAGATTTTTTGGTTACAGTATGAATTATTTAAGAGAACCTTTGTTTTAAATTTTCAACTCTTAGTTATAAAAACTGAACATTTTTTAATTCCAACGATTGATAATTTTCGAGATTTTGATAAATTTTGTCAAAATTCCAACTTTAAATGCTTATAAAAAAAAACTGTTCCTATGTATTTTTAATATTTTTCAACTGCTATTGTAACAATATATCAGGAGCCTTGTATTAAATTTTT